ACAATGCTCAACTTTAGGTAATTTTTAGGCACTTAAGTTTTCGGAACATTTCCTAGGAAAAGTTTTAAAATCATTATCCCCATATACTATTAATTCTATTCTATTTTATTCGTAATGCCCGCATCATTAGACAAAAACATTTAAGTGCTCACAGCAAAGTAATTATATTTTGCTTTAAAAACTCATGTATTGTAAGTGAATTTTTGATTTATGGTTGCACAAATGTATTCACCAAATGGACAGCATTAACTTTTGAAGTTAAGGTTCACGTGTGTAATAAACAATTGTACATTAGTCTCCCCGAGCTCAGTTCCGGTTTTCACCTACAGAGCCACCAACAAAAAACGTAATTATAAATTTAAGCCCGAATTGAGGCTTACACGTGCCCACAGCACTTTATAAGTAAGCCTCCGTTCATAAAATGAAATTAACCTTGATACGACCAAATACAAACGAAAGAGTTATGGTATAATAAAATAAAATAATACAAAAAATTCACACAAAACAGTTGCAGTAAGCGAACTATAGAAACGAAGTTGAAATATAGTGTTAGTATTATCAAGATTTTTAGCAACCTTAATTAAGAAAATAACAAATTTAAAATATTGTAACTTTATATTTTATTAAAGGTACACTATAAATTTTCAGTGGAACTTTGTAATATTTAACTTAAAAATTTATTTTGCAAAGAAAATTGAGCTTGTTAAGTTTACTAAAGAGTGACTTTTTACTTTAAATGATAGTTTTAAAACGTATTTACAAAGCAAAATGGCACAATTATTCTGTTATCGTGTTTTTTATTATTCAAAGTCCCAGTAAATATTTTAAGAACACAAAAATTAAAGAATTACAATTTAAGACAAAACAAATAATTATTTATTAAGATGTTCACAACATTGAGAGACTACTGTATGTCCGAAATTCAAAACCAAAGTCCCAAAATGTGGCAATGCATGACGCGCGTAAAACATTTTGTCAATTAAAAATGGCAAAATTGCTCAAAAACAAGATGGGATAAATGACCAAACTAACCTTCAGTTATATCGATTTCGGCATTCTTCGACTGGAACTTGCTGGCCGCTGCAGCCGCCGGACCCGTTGGGGCACCTCCCGCCCCCGCACCGCCCCCCGAGCGCACAGCATGGGGATTGGGGTGGTTGGACTTCATACCGCCGCCATATCCAAAAAGATCGCCCACCAAAAGCAGGGAGACGACGCCGAAGATCATGAGGCGACAACGCCAGGCTGTGTCCATAATGGCCATAATCCAAAAATTGATCAATTCACACGCGTTTCACAATTTTTTCCAGATATACTTTTTGTCGTAGTAAATATAGCAACTCTTTTTCGGGTTGTTAGCACCTGGCTTTTGACACTTTTTTCAATGGCAAGCCGACGAGCAGGAAAAAAAGGAAAGTTAGGGGGGAAAACGAAAGTAGCTTTTTTACTCGCTTTTCGAAAATTTTTTAAAATTACTGCTGACGAACATGCAAAAGAGCGACAATTAAATTTGGCATTCAAGCGCACACAACTCGTTAGTAACTGTAAAACCAAAATACAGACACAGGTAACACACGCGATAGCCACAGGTAGCACAGTGATTCTACCAAGAGCAAAGATACGTCCGATTCATTCAAAAGTTGCAGTGCCACTGAACTGAAGCGGGTCTCAGATATAACACTAAAGCTAGGCCCCGGCGATCAGCTGATCGGGAGAGGGAGCGAGAAGAGCCGGAGAGTCGGATTGAGTAAAAATAATAACCTGGTACGGTACAGCTGTTTGTAGAGAGGCTCTCCATAACACTCCGAGAGACCTGGTCTTGGTTAATCTCAGATCAGTGCGTACCTTTTAGCACCCACTGTACTGCCAGCGGTGGTGCTAATTGTCTGCGGCCAGTCGCAACCACAACTGTCCATCACTTGGTTAAAAAAAGGTTTGATTAAAGCCAGCACAAGTCACTTACTTACACGCCTACCATGGTAGTTTTATACATATATAAACTCGGTTAAACTGGGCGACTTACAGGTTCGATTACCCGAACGGGCTAACGACCTCAGGCAGGGAATTATGACCATCTTAGCTTGGCAAATTGTGAAATGAAATTCCTTGAGTAAGTGGAGTGAAAAGGCCCACCTGAGTGCTGCAATGAATGATATCAAGAAAAAATTTACAAGGAAAGTAATATTATTTAAAAAATAATACAATTAAAAGCATAAAATGCAGAGGCATAGAAATTTATTAAAATTTTGAAGGATTACAGTTACTGCCTTGTTCAAGAACATTTATAATTTGAGAACATCTTGTTCTTTTGTAACCCTGGCATTTTGATTGGCTATTTTATATACCAATCGTGGTTATTTTGGAGCATATTTTTTCGCGAATTAAAACGAAATATGTTTTTTTATATTTTTGTTTTTTACTTAGTGGTATTTTATATATATTGCATAATATGTAAGGTCTTTTTACAAAACTATAAAAGTGCGGTATTCCTTTCTTGACAAAAAAATCTTTATTCAGAACGAACATGTGCAGATACTTCTAATTTTTCCACAGAAAAAGGATGCTGAACATGTGTGCAGAATCACTGGAGAAAAAAGGTGCACACTTAACCTTTTATAAATAAGAATCTTAGATTTTTACGACTTTTTTTACCTCACCATCGTCAAGTGTTACAAGTACAGTCAAACCATGAATGCCAGATTTTTATCTAGGAAGTTATACTAAATAATTTAAAAAAATAAAGATGTGTTCCATATCGAGTATTACAGACCACTTTGACCAAAGAAAAATCCAAAACAGAGAGTCCACATTCTTAACTAATGCACCACATAAGTCAGTCGCGTGCCCGTCACGTAGGCCCCTTAGTGGCAGAGTAAATACTGAACAGACTTCCTCAGTTTTTATTTATTTACGATCCCCAGAGCAGCTGCAAATTGACCGGTAATCGAGCAGGTAGAAAGGTCATAGGACAGATTTATGATTGTGCTGACGAGGCCCACAGTGCAGTGCAGCTAAAAATAATAAAAGCCCGCCTGACCCTGCCAACTGCCAGTACATGAGAAGTCAGGCAGCCAAATGTTGCAATGGCCAAAAAAAGGAGCCAGCAAATGGAGAGAGACTTTTTGGCCAAGAAACTTAACCAACCGGACGGCAAGTTGAATGCAATAAATGCGCAATTGGAACGTGACTTAGCCGTGGCCAACAATCACCCAAAAACCATGATAAAAAACAACACCGGAACGTACTCAAATTAAAGGTAACAACAAGAACAGCGACAACTTTTTCCCCTGCTTAACTTGGCCAAATTGCAGTCAAGCGAAGTGCAACCGTCAAGAAGTGTAGCCAATTGCCACTGCTAACGGCAATCTTGAAGTTGACCAGCTAAACAAAGAAATATTATTAAATTCTTTAAAAATAACAAATAAATTATTAAAGATTTTAAAGGAAGTTCCAATTAATAAGTTATTAGGGATTTTTAGAGTGCTACATTTTAGATCTGTGCATGTATAGAATATTTTGTATTAACATTTAGACAAATAAAATTTTTGTAGAAAATAAATTGGACAATCACACCATACACAAATTATATTTTAAATTATATTATAATACGTTGTTTTCAGACTTAAGTCAATTTTTTATTTAAAGTGCAGCACCAAGAAATGGAGCTGACAAGTTGAGGCTATAAGTAAGGGGTAATTGAGTGTTGTCTGTGCCACTGGAAACTCCGTTCAGAACAGCTGCAAAAAGTATTCACTCCGCTCCGACTTCGTCTCCCAGAATTCATTTGTTTTGCTTGCCTTCAAATTGCAGTTGCCGCTGTCCTTCAGTTGCAACAACGCCCTGTCCAAAAAACTACACCATTAAAAAATGTTATATTAGTCGAATTGCGGTATACCCTAGTATAATAAAAATGTAACTTGGGGAAAAATAGGTGGGCAATAATATAAACTTTGAAAAGCATTTTTGTAAATTTACGAAAAGCTATTTATTAAGCTTTATTCTAATTTGATCAAAAATGTTAGTCCCATAAATAGTTTGAAATCAACATAATAAAAGTCAAAAATACAGTATTTACAAATGAAAAAAAAATCATTCATTTTAAAATATATGTCACATACCTTGATTTTTAGTTTAAATATTTAACTTATGAACCTTGATATCAAAAAGAGTATGTGCAAAGATATATGTACGTAAGTACTAGTTTATACAAAACATTTTGCGCCTCGAAGGTTAAGCATCGAAAACCCAACAAAAACGCGATGTGGAAAAAGAGAAAAAAGACTTCATTACTGTCGGGGCAGCCAAGCATGGGGCTTAAAAAAGTAATTTAAAATTATTATTTTTACTTTATTAATGCCGCCAAAACCTTTGGGCCAGATGATGCAGATTAAGTTTAGGGTTCCAGAAGAAAATGCAAAATGTTGGCACATCGTTTTGATTGGGATAAAAATCGTGATTGAATATTAGAGGTTTTAATGAGAAGAAAATGTAAGTTAAGATTGCTGAGATTGCATTTTTGCATGGCTGCTGGGTCAGTCAAACAAACTGGTTTTGATATATAAAGCTGCCCCGTCTGCAATATGGAGGTAACTTACAAAATTGCATGTGCAACTTGAAAAATCTAAAACTTTTTGGGACAGCCATCTGACATTTTGTATAAGCTAATTTAATCTTAATTATTTCCGCAGCTTGACCTTCCCCAGACTAAAAAATGATCAAAATGTTTTCCTAAAAATGTTCAGGTACAATAAGTTGAGTTCATGAGAGCTTTATGAATTGAAATTTATTGGGACAAGCTGTTAACTGAGTTAGTGGGACATATAAACTGGTTCTTTACTGTGCTCACAATGAAAATGTGACAATAGCTTTTGATGAAAGCCAATTGAATTTATATTTGTATCTAAGTGACACCCATTAAGTACATACAAAGGCAAACAGAGTTGTCAGTTTGTAAATATATCAAAAGGGTGAAGTATATTTTCGGTCAATTATATAAAATAATAACATAGTCGGACGTCGGGGCAGTTTATATACCCACCCTTAACATCTTAGAACCCAACCATCCAAAACATCCAAGATGGGTCAGAGAGTCTCGCGCAGCGACTTTGAGTGGGTGTACACAGAGGAGCCGCACGCCTCGCGGCGCAGGATTATACTAGAGAAGTACCCGCAGATCAAGAAGCTCTATGGTCACGATCCTAACTTCAAGTGGGTGGCTGGCGGGATGGTGCTTACCCAAATCCTGTCATTGTTCCTAGTCAAGGACCTGTCGTGGTCGTGGCTCCTAGTGGCCGCCTATTGCTTCGGTGGCATTATAAACCACTCGCTAATGCTGGCCGTCCACGAAATTTCTCATAATTTGGCCTTCGGACACAGCAGACCCATGATGAACAGGATTTTGGGCTTCATCTGTAACTTGCCAATCGGCTTGCCCATGAGCATTTCGTTCAAGAAGTATCATCTGGAACATCATCGTTACCAAGGCGATGAGGCAATTGACACTGACATACCCACACTGCTAGAGGCCCGTCTTTTTGACACGACGTTTGGAAAGTTTTTGTGGGTTTGCCTTCAGCCTTTCTTCTACATTTTCCGACCCCTGGTGATTAACCCGAAGTCACCTACGCGCCTGGAACTTATCAACACTGTGGTGCAGCTGACATTCAACGCTTTTATCGTTCACTTTCTTGGATGGAAGCCAATGGCCTATCTGCTGATCGGTAGCGTTCTAGCGATGGGCTTGCACCCGGTGGCCGGACACTTTATTTCGGAGCATTATATGTTTTCTAAAGGATTTGAAACGTATTCTTACTACGGCCCGCTCAACTGGATTACCTTCAATGTGGGCTATCATAATGAGCATCACGACTTCCCGGCGGTGCCCGGCTCCAGGCTGCCCGAGGTTAGGCGCATCGCCAAGGAATTTTACGACTCAATGCCCCGACACACCAGCTGGACCCGGGTACTTTACGATTTCATCATGGACCCAGCAGTGGGACCATATGCCCGCGTGAAGCGCCACCAGCGGGGTCTGGCCTCCTAAGAATTCGATGCTATTCAAGGTTTCCTGGATGTAATCTCATAGTTTATAATACCTGTCCTACTATACTATTGCCCTAGAATTTTCGATACATATTTATATTACTTTCAAATCATAATTGTAAAGCCACTAAGCAAAGTGTTTTGACCCTCATTGTAACCCTAACGAAAGCAGTGTGACCATATGCCCGCGTGAAGCGCCGCCAGCGGGGCCTTGCCTCCTAAGAATTCGATGCTATTCAAAGTTTCCTGGATGTAATCTCAGCGTTAGACCTTAAGCGGCTTATTATGTATATATACTTCGTAAAGATGTTTACTGCAGTTGCACAAAAGTGCAGCTACGAAATACACAGCGCCTGCTAATCTGCAATGATTACATAATAAGCTTATAATGGATATTTTGAAAGATTAAATGTTTAACATTTTTGGTATTAATGCTAGATTGTGAGCTTACTTTGACTCATTGGCTTAACTAAGAAGAACATTCAAGCGCTCTAATTAACTTGTAACTCATAGTGTATACTACCTGTCCTATTATACTACTGTCCTAGAATTTTCGATACATATTTATATTACTTTCAAATCATAATTGTAACCCTAACGACAGTAAACTACTAATTAACTAACCAAGCAATTACTATTTTGATAGCCTCTTGAAACTGTAGCCTAAGAATAATATTAAGAAAATTGGCCAGGGGTGGCTGCATGTACAAAATAAATATTAGCAAAATAAAACAAATGGCAAAATCTTAAAAAAAATATTTTATTAAATGATACTTTGAAATTTACTAGATAAATGTTTTTTTTGGCATTGATCTTTTGAAGTAAATTGTTTTTAATCTCAGAAAAATGGTAAAAAACCAATTCGAAAGATATCAATTGTTTTAACATATGAACAGAACCTTTGTTCTCTACAATAATATAATGAGTTTTAAAAGGCATATTTGATCTAATTGAATCAACATTCGCTAATTAAAGACATTTAATTTCCCAAGCTTAATGAATCCTTGGATTGGGTTGTCAATTAAATTAAGTAGAAGCAATAAATACGCGGGTAAGGCCAGCCGATTGAAGAACTCACACCCCGTGAAAGAAACGGAAACGGAAGCAGCAACCGAGTCTTTGGTGGTGTTTCAATTTTTTACTTCATTAGGAAGGGCGGTCTCAGGCTAAAACCACCTCAAACACCTCGGGAAAATAAACCGAGACCGCAGGAGCAGGAGCAGAAGTGAAAGACACCGCCCGCGGCTTCCATTTACAGCCTGCTTAATTTATGCTAAACGCGTCGCGTCTTTGCATTTAATTGTGAAATTAAATTTGAAGCGATTAATGTTGACACAACATGCGATTAGTGCACGAGTTGGGCACTGCAAAAATATATTTTAAAATAAGACTAGTTTTACTTCTCTACTACTTTTGTTCTTATATATTTAAAAAATGTTTACACTAAAATTACTATTAATTCGGAAAATATTGATATATTAAATATGAATTTCAATTAGAAATAAATATGATTTATTTTTATTCTGTACCACGAACTAATGTATTTAAAAAAAATATACTTTCAAAGGAAAAGATTTATAATCTGCAAAATACTTCACCAATGAACTACATCTTACTATCATTAACTTAAAAAAATATGTTTTCTATAATAGAAACCAACTAACACTTGCAAAACTTAAAAAAAAAATTTTAAAAATTATAAATCCATCATTTATTTAATTTTTGTTAAATATTTATGCCATCTTCTCAGAGTGTAAGTATTTGCGTACATGCGGTTTGCCCTTTGGGCTTGGCTTGGTCAAAGAGATGGAGATTCTAGCGGATATCTATTAGCCAATCGCCTCGCATTTGGCAAATTATCATTGTTTATAATATGACAATATTCGATGGCAGCGACAGCGACACATACAAGCTTTGCATAAACAATAATTAAATGTAGCCAAATTAAATTTTACACAAAAGCAGAACACAAAGTGACAGCTGGGCGGTCCTTTCCACGGCCTTTCCTGACCCATCCAAACCCGATACCCCCACGACTTGGAAATGTCTGCATAATTATGTGGTACATGTGGGTGGGTGGAAATGCCTCAGTTCAGTGGTTGAGTGCATGTGTGAGTGTCGTGGCTGATAATATGCAGTTTAATTACAGAACACCAATGCCCACAAACAACAATAACGAGGGAAGATCGGGCCTCTCAGGATTCCACAAACAAATACTCTACCAAGCCACATTCTTAAAAATAAATAATTTTCTATATATCAAAAATACAGGAACACATAATAAAAATAAAAAATCAACAAATTAAAAAATGTTTTTGATAGCGAATTTCAAAATTTGAATATATAGATATTCAGGATTGATATCATTGAAAACGTTTTTATATTTTCTCAGACAAAATATTTAAAAAAGTAAAAATATAAAACGTAGTTCGTTTATAAAAACGAATATATTATAATCTCATAATCTATATTTTATATCCCAAACATAAAAATCCAAAGCAATTATGAACTTACTGGTACTAATGTTGGCTTTGAGGTGAAGAAATAATGTTTTAGGTACCTATGTACATCCTTTTGGTGACTTGGTTCTTAAGTTTTACTCTTAGTTTGCATTTTAAATATTAAAAATACTGTGTGTATCTACATGTATTTATAATGAAAATATACAAGTTTTTTGTTTAATATTAATTTTAATTTTGTCGGATTAAAACTTAACTAAACGTCAATTCTTGATTTTTATAGAGCAAAACAGTTACACAGTATAGAACAAATGGACTAATGGGAATGATCAACAATTTAGGTTCAAGAATGCAAATGAATTGGTTTTTTTTACGAAACAATAATCAAAAATGTCCCTGAATAAATGCTTATGTCATGTTTACATTTTTCACCTCTAAAACCAATATGTCCCAGGCAACGAAGAGTACTCAGCGGTATGGTCAACATTTTGCTGCATAAATTCAAATTAGTTTGAACTGCCTTATCCCCACTTCCGCCCAGCCGAAATCAACCCGAGAAGCCTTTATCTACACCTCCCCCTATTAAAGACCCACCTCCTTTCGTGGCCACGCATCACTTTTAATTTTCCATGCGAGACAATGTTCTTGGTCCTGTCAGGTGCATAACTGTATTATCCTCATATGCCTGGCAGGATATACACACGTATGCGAGTGTGGATCGCTGTTTATTGGCATCCATTAGATAAGGGAATTTACGCGAATGCAATTGTTCGGCTTCGCCTCGACTTCAAAGGGTATTGTCGTGCTTTGTCCAGTTAGTCGTGATTAGTGTCATTGGATGGTATTTGCGGTTACGCGGAAGCCTTAAATTGATTTTGTAAGGACGGATGGATCTAATAGAATTATACGTATAAATATAGAAAACCATAAAAACCATATTTCCTAATAGGCTTGCTGAGTCGAAAATATTATTAATAATTATCTGTAAATCGGGTTCTTAATCTTAAAATAGGTATTAATCGAATTGTTATGGCATCCCATGTTTGTAGTGCGAACGGTCGTGGGTTCGAAAAGATGTTGAGGTGAGAGTTATAATATATGTAATAAAATCGTTTGATTTTTTAAAAATTGTATTCGAAATTCAGAAATATCAAACAATTTATATTCCTAAGAGTAGAAGATAATATGTCGAAAACACCGAAGCTATAATGTTTATCATAATCGGATATGTGTAGAATCAAAACTTGTTGAAAAGTTTTATCTTGATAGCTTCAAAACAGCGGTAATATTTATTACCACATACATATGTGTCAGACATCACTTACTATATCATCCACGTATAACCTTTGAACAACATAGTTCACTATCCCTAATGCGTAAATTATACATAACTTCCGAAAATATTAAAGTGAGTTTTTCTTAGAAATGTGTGAATCGGCAGGCAAAGATCCAGATGCGTGCTGCGTATTGGCTTACGGAATATATACCATAGTCGTTGGAGTCCTTGCCCTGCTGGAGGCGTTGTATTTAACGTTTGTATTCTTGACGCTTGTGCTTTATAACAGCAGTGCTATATTATTGGTTTTCACTGTAATATTCGTTGGATTTTTGGTTGTAAGCGTAATGTACATTGTTGCTGGGTCTTTGTTGGTGGCCGGAATGCTGAATGTAATGTGGATTTCAACAAATACAAATTTTAAAAATATTAATGTATTATTTGGATGTATCCTAATATAGGGCTCAAGAAATTTATTTAGATGTGGAAAAATTCTGAGCTATATATTTCCAATTTACACCTTCCCACTCATATTTACATTTTTTCATTATTCCTAACATTCTGATTTTGCCATTTAGTTGTTCACTTTGTTTGCTTGCCGAAATTATGCAGGTATTACGGAAGGACCTGGCACTGAAAAGACCATAAGATGAGTCGTTTCAACGATTTATTCCCAAAATGCCAACGCGGTACACGCCCTTATAAATCTATTGTTGTAGTGTAAAATTCCGTCCAAGTTCTTGGAAATGGCACAACCAGAACTTAATTGTAAGGTCTCTTACCATGCGAACGTTAATAATAATTTTTTGTGTGAATCTGATTTATTCCGACTTATTTCATTTTTAGCTTACTACAATAATTTAATTACTATGAAGGGCATTCTGGAGAATGTGGAAATGTCGAAAACACCGAAGCTTTAATTTTAGTCCCTTTTTTTCATTTTTAGCTATAGCTATAGGATATAGTCCTATCCGGCTCGGATACAGAAATAAAACTGAACAACATAGTTCACTATGCCTAATGCGTAAATTATACATAACTTCCAAAATTATTAAAGTGGATTATTTTAAGAAATGAGTGAATCGGCTGACGATGATCCAGATGCGCGCTGCGTAATGTTTTACGGAATGTATACCATAGTCGTTGGAGTCCTTGCCTTGCTGGAGGCGTTGTATATAATGTGTATATTCTTTGTATATATGTATGATAACAGAGGAGCTATAATGGTGTTGGTCGCTTTACTAACCATTGGTCATTTGATTGTCTGCGTGACGTACGTTGTTGCTGGGACTTTGTTGGTGGTCGGAATGAAAAGGGTAAAGTGAATTTTGACAGATTAAAATATTAATGTTTTACTTGGATGCATCCCAATATAGCGCTCAATAAAGTTATTTAGATGTGGAAAAATTCTAAGCTATTTCTATCCAATTTTTTCCTTCCCTCTCGTATATACAATAAGTAAGAAACACGTTTTAAAAGACTAAATTCAATAGTGATTTTAAATTATTCCTAATATTCTGATTTTGCCTTTTAGTTGTGCACTTTGTTTGTATGCCGAAATTACGCAGGTATTACGAAAGGACCTGGCACTGAAAAGACCATAAGATGAGTCGTTTCTTCGGCCCTATAAATCTATAGTTGTAGTGTATAATTCCGGCCAAATTCTTGGATATGGCAAAACCAGGACTTAATTGTAATCTATTATTATGCGAACGTTAATAATAATTTTTTGTGTGAAGCTGAGTTAGTCCGACTTATTTCATTTAAAGCTTACTACAATAACTAAATTACTATGAAGGGCATTCTGAAGAATATGGAAACATGGTTGAAAGCATAGTTTACCGAGTTGTTCATTAAGTTTTAACCAAACTTTAAACAGCCCACTCGGGTTGAAAATTAAAAACAAAGAAAACATAAATGGGGTTTTAAATTAAAATATGTATTCTAATCTAAATTTTGTATTTTTACTCTACAAAACTTTTATTTAAAATATGAAGTAGTATTTTCTTTGACTATTAAATAGGGTTCAAAGATGCTTTACAAACTCTTTGCTAGTAGATTAAGGGTTTGTAACGGATAGAAAGTATATATAAGGTAAGTTTCCTTGTTCATAAAAAATGCTGAATTCAAATTTGAAACCTGAACTGACCAAAATATGTTTAATTAAACTCACTCTTATGCCATTCAGTTGGCCCTTTATTATCATAAAATTGTCAGAAACGCCGGAAGAGAGAGGTACTTTTAAACACATATATGAATACAAGTAGTAAAGTGAAGGATAAATTATTTTTGTACGAATTGTTGACCAGCAAATATTATTTTCAGCCCAGTCCCATCCGCTTTAATTACAATTACTCTTGTTCTCTTATTGTATTTATTGTCGGTTGATAACTTTTTTCGTGTTAATTAGTGTAAATATGGAGCAGGGGAACTACCTAGGTTTTTGTACTTGTCGTCACTATTTGAATGACAAAAAAATATGAATTGAATGACAGTTGGTCGAGAGAAAAATCAACAACATAAAACCCCTGAAGAGTGTATTAAATGGCAACCATAATAAAGTTCCTATAGCTGGAGCTCAAATTTAAATAAATGGTTGTTCTATGCGTAATGAATGGAAATAAAACAGAAATTATATGAATGACATATATGACACATTGTTTATACAATAATGTGGGAAGTTAAATAAAGTTATTTGCATAGTTTTGTTTGCTCCTATCTGATGACTCAGATTGTAAATTGGCTTTAATTTTATTCAAAGAATATTTAATGCATCTTTGCTTTCTTATGACGTTTTATTGACATAATTCCAATATTATATATATATATATTTTAGTGGCTGGAAAAGTAATTTTTTCTTTGTCTATCTTCCTTATTGTGGGCAAATAAATTGTTTTTAACCATAACTGTCAGTTTTTAATTTTTCACGAGATAATCGATTTTAGGAAATAGAAATCCCGATTTCGTTTCACGTATGCCCGTAACTGGGTGGCCCCATCCCAATCACCCGTCAAGTTTTATGAGCATTATGAAATTTGTATGCAATCGACAGAAGTACAATCGAAATTATAATTCAGTAAATAAAACAAAAAAGTAATAGGGGAACTTAAAGCGTCGACAAAATTGAAGAGTATTTGTTTATTAATTTTTGGCCTGAAGAATCTTAAGTTCAGAGATGAAACGTAGTTAGACGTAAACAAAAACATTATAGTCGGTTACTTTATCTAATGAGTTCCTTAGATAAATAATGTAGCATGCTTGCTATCTACAGGTAATTTTTAACTAAAATTTGTTAATGAACTCATTTTTAGAAGTTGGGAAGAATATAATAAAAATAATTCTTTGCATAACATAATAACTTTGCATCTGATATCACAGACATCATAGATAAGGAACAAGAAAACCCAATGCGAAAATTAACTTGTTTATCCGTCTTAAAAATAATAACTGTAAGCAATTGAAAAATTCCGCTTAAAAAACGTATCTAAAATTTGAAAAACTACACATACCCTATAAGTACACAACTAAAATTGGTAAAAAAAAAAAACTAGGGCAATGCGAGTGCGACTTAGAAGTCCCAGATTCTAGTTCATAATGTTTTGTTTACATCTCCGATGCCTGATGTTAAGTACTTAAATGCCTGGGGACGAGCAAAAAGAGTCACTTCAATTTCGCAGCGGCATCGATTTGAATACGCTTATAATATACATATTGGGCGTACGAAATTCGTATGAATAAATATGCGCAGTGTTAATACCGCAGTCGACCCGACAGTTGCTCTTAATCGGTGCATTGCACAATGCGAAACCAAGTGCAAAACTTTAAAATCGTTTAGTTCTTACACTCGAAAAAAACAAGAAACAAGTATTAAAAAAAAAAAGTGAATTAACATAGAAAAGTATTATATAAGTTTATTACAATACCCAGCATGTATCATATAATCCGTATAAAATGTTTTAAAATGTTTATAAATTAAATAACAATTATTAAGTTTTCTTAAATACTTATAGTTATAATAAATTTAACAAAACCTTATAAAACTTTTACTCCTTGAAAGAGAATTGACAGTTTTAGAAAAATGCGTCTGAACGTAGCTTATAATTTTAAATTGAGACTAGGTTTGATTTTATCCAAGTGTAAGTCCGCTTAGCAGCAAACTTTTCTGACCCTTGGGTCTGGTGACCCTTCAAAAACTGTCTGATCTCTGCGTCTGCGTACCGCTTAAAACGCTTGATGCGACATTGTTTCGAGGCAGTTGCTATCTGGAAACCTCGTCGCAATGTTCTGGCTCGGTTTAGGCCTTCCTTTGATCGCTTTGTCCTTATACCTGCTATATGTCTTCGAACGCCAGAGGAGGATCGATTGCCTTACCCGCAATTGGCCAGCTCCACCGGCCCTGCCGTTCATTGGCCATCTGCATATCCTGGCCAAATTGGTGGGACCGCATCCTCTTCGCCGCGCCACAGAAATGATCAATACCCATCTGAAGGATCATCGCGGAAAACTTTGGATGGGCACTAAGCTCTACCTGGTGGACTGCAATCCCAAGGATATTCAGGCTTTGTGCAGTGCCCAGCAGCTCTTGCAGAAGACCAACGACTACAGGATCTTCGAGAACTGGCTCTGTGAAGGTCTCTTCACGAGTGGTTTCGAGAAGTGGTCCCATCGCCGAAAGATCATCATGCCAGCCTTCAATTACGCCATGATCAAGCAGTTTGTGCATGTCTTCGAGAGGCAGTCACGGGTTCTTCTGTCCAGGGTTACGGAGTTTGCAGAATCCGGGGAACCATTGGATTTCCTCAAGCTGATCAGCTGCTTCACCTTGGACACTATTTGTGAAACGGCCCTCGGGGTAAATGTTGGTGCTCTCTCAAGTCCCAAATCGGACTACCTGGATGCTGTTAAAGAGTAAGTTAGTTGCTTTTATACTGTAGAAACGTGATATCAGGAACAGCTTAGTTTTGTATACATTAACAAACACAATATGGTTAAGCATCCATTTTCACAAGTTAGTAAACCAAAACAGACATAAAAGTACTAGTTGACTCTTTCCGTCAACAAAATGTGACAACTTTTATTTACTCAATTTCTAAATCCACAATAACCAAAAAATTTGCGAAGGATTGTGGTTTGTTGATGGTATACATCCTACCGAATACAACAGATAATTAATTATTGTCTATTATATTTATAACTAATAAGTTCTTTGCTAGATCTACCCTGATTTTACATTTTATTGCCTTTTTGCAGAATCCTTGTGATCATCGACACCCGGTTAAAGAATCTTTTCTACCGCAGTTCCTTTATATTTCGTCGCACATCACATTTTAAACGGGAGCAGGAGCTACTTAAAATCCTTCATGGTTTCACTGAGGGCATTATAAAAAAGCGATTGGATGAGATCAGTCAGGATGCGGAGAATTTTAATACCGAGAGCACTAAAAATGCGGAAATGGAAGGAGGCAAGCGGACACTCTGCTTTCTGGATAGTTTGCTCCAGGCAAAAGGACCCTCTGGTCAGCCCTTGACAGTCAAGGATATTCGCGAGGAAGTGGATACCATTATATTTGGGGGCTTTGATCTCACGGCCACCACCCTGAAGTTCTTTATGTACAATATGACCCTATATCCAGAGCACCAGGAGCGTTGCCGGGAGGAAGTGTGGTCGGTTTGCGGCAGGGACAAAAGGGAGCCCATCTCCATGGAGCAGGTGCGTCAATTGGAGTTCCTCGAGGCTTGCGTGAAGGAGACACTGCGGATGTATCCTTCGGGTCCAATTACGGCCAGGAAAGCCACAGCTAACTGCCAAATCAGTAAGTCTTACTTAGTTCTAACTCTAAAATTATACTTTGTATTAGTACCTATAAGAAAAATATTTAAAAGAAATGCTAAGTATTCTATCTGGAAAGGAAAGGAATACCTTTTTATTTTAATCTTTATCCGCCCTCAATTCGCAGATGATTTCTTCATACCCAAGGGTAGCGATGTGATCATTTCTCCAATTTACATGGGTCGCTGCAAGGATTTCTTCCCAGATCCATTGGTCTTCAAGCCAGAACGCTGGTCAAATGGAGCGGAACCAAAGATTGAGGCCACCACATTTATACCATTTATGGCTGGGGCACGGAGTTGTTTGGGTCAACGATATGCGATGGTGATGCTCAAGGTGGTTTTAGCCCACTTGCTTAGGAATTTCCTGTTTCAGCCCCTTGGCGAGCGACAGGTGAAAATGAAGCTCAACTATGTGATCACCCTCCATACCGTCGATCCCTATCTTTGTAGAGTAAAAAAAATCGATTGAGGCTAGCCATGAGTCTATTGACTTGGCCAAGACCTTTGACAATAAAGTTAGCTAATCTTGTAGATACTAATTTAGTTCGTCGACATTATTAAATTTTTCAGCTTAAAAAACAAATCGATAAGGCAAAGTCTGATTAAATTCCATTTTCATCTATTTTACCTTTAATAAGAATAAGAATAACTAAAGCTTTCGTGTAGGGTTTTCCTAAATTAAGTTTAATGTACTGGGATATTTCAAGTTAAAATACTGACATCCTTAAAATACACCCTTGTCAATTCGATTCACTTGGTTCCTTTCTGAAAGGTTGAATTTCTTGACGAAGCACAACATTTCCGTTTTTAATGATATATAAAAAAAATAATTCTGTACAATTTGGAGCATTTTCTGCCTGCTCATTTTTATGTGAT